CACGTTCTGAGTGAAATAGTTTGTCCTAATATTCAATCTACACCTCCCCCACTGTAACTTGAGACCATTGCTCCTTGTTCTGCCATCTGTCACCACTGAGAACAGCCTCTCTCCATCCTTTTTTGAACCCCCCCCTTCAAGTAGTTGAAGGTTGCTAAATAAGCCCAAATCCCTCAGCCTCTCCTCATAAGACAAGTGATTCAGCCCCCTAATCATTTTTGTTGCCCCCTTTGTGCAAAGGGTCTTCTGCAAGAGGAGACAGTTGTCACCTTGCCATGGTGCACGTCGTCCATTGCGGGGCACCGATTATGGTTTTGCAGCACAGATTCGGAGACGAGCCCTTTGGTTGCCCTTGCAAGCTTAATGCTTCATAAAATAGTCACATTTGGGAGTTGAAATTTTCTCACTCAGCCATTGCCAAAGATGAATTGGTTTTTGCACATGAAGGTTTGACCCAGTTGTCTAAGAGCATCTGTCCTGGAAAAGGGGAACAGGAGGGATTTTTGGTTGGAGAAACAACTGCTGCTCTGTTTGAAGATTCTTCTCTTTGTTAATAGCCAGAGGTAGTGTTCTGAGCAGAGCATGTGCAGCAGTAACGTGACTTTCTGGTAACCTGAACAACCAGCGGAGCTCCCAGTAGTAGAGATAAGCACGAGTACCTCGAGTCTGACTTGCAATCCAAAGTGATAGCATGTAATGCACGGGACTGTGCAGAGAGATGGGGGTGGCTCTAAATGTGAATACGTGGTAATTCTGTGCTACCCGTAAACAGTGGCTCTACAGAGGGAGACAGACAATCATTGTCCTTAGAAGTGTGGGTCCCCCAGATTGTGCTATTGCTAGTTTTTTGCTTTTGAGTATTGTAGTCTTTGGGGAGCATGTGTCCATTTCCCTTCTACCAGCACTGACAAGTACAGTCCACGTAGTGCGGCAGTCCTTTCGGGTCACAGGTTCACTCTCTGAGCCCGCTGGCGCGTCGGCTCAGTGCAAAACCTCGTCACTCTCCTCCCTGGCTGTGGTACTCCTTCGGGGCAGGATGTAAAGACAGGATGTTGCTGAAATTATTGTTCTGGGGCCTCAGTCGGGAAGACGAGGGTGGAGCTGGTGGAGGCTCCACTGATGAAGGTCCTGACCATGAAAAGCAGCCAAAGCCTCCTCCCTGTCCAAGACCACTCAGCAGCTCAGGCTGCTGGTAAGTGGGAACGGTGAAGGGACCTCTCCCAAGGTACTGCCCCTGGATTTGCAGAAGCAGGGAGCCCTTTACCCCGAGCTGCCCCCCCTCTGCTGGCTGAACAGCCTCTTCTTGCCCTCTCCAGAGATGCCTCCCTGCTGGGGTGGGGTTAAGTCAGCGTGGGAATAATGTCCAACTCTGTTCCTCTTCTTGTTGCTGGAGCAAGGAAGATCTCTGCTGCGTGTCCTCATCTCTCTCACTCCCCACTAAGGATGGGGCGGTTTAACCGGTCAAAGCTCACCCGTAACAGGTTACGGTTAACCAGTGGAGCTGGAGTTACGGTTAACCAGTGGGGCTGGAGTTACGGTTAACCAGTGGGGCTGGAGTTGCTCCCTGCCTGCCATGGACAGGGATTGCTCTAGTACATCCCCTGCCTGTGGCAGGCCTGGGCACCCTGCAGGTAGGGGCTGCTTCTCTGGCAGGGCGGGAGCAGCCCCTGCCTGTGTCCGGCAGGGGGGCCATTCCAGCTGGGCAGGAGTGCCTTCCCTCCCACTTGCCTCCCCCAATATGTTTAACCAGTTAGTCAATTAAACGGGATTTTCCATCCCTACTCCCCGTGCTTTTCCAGTGCATGCTGGTGAGAGACGATTTCAAGCTCTCTTAGACCCTAGTGCTTTGGGAACCTTTGCAGTTAGTGGGGGGATGTAGAAATGTGGGGTAAGACTGTGCCCTAGTGACCCTTCCTTCCATTGGGAGATCTGAAGTTCATTAGCCATAGTCTCCTTTTATGTCTCTAGTCATCTCTGCAGCAGCTTGAATCAAAGGCTTTGGTGCTGCAAACTTTGATTGAAAGACTATTTCCAAGCATCTGGCATGGATTGCTTCCTTTTCTACGGCATTTATCACCCGGCCCATCGGACACCAGAGCCAAAACTTCAAGAAGAGGAAACAAGGTTTCCCTCCAGGTCACTGTGAAGACTGCAACATGTAAAGCTGGCTTGTCATGCATGTTCTTGCTGTTGATCAGAACAGTTAATCTCCCCTTCTAGGGCCCTGCGGGGAGCAGATCTATCTTGGCAGTGTAAAGCATTCTGAAAAAAAATGTATTTTTTTTTATTCAGTCAAATTTTGTTCCAGTTGCATAGTTGTTTTATCCCCCCTCCCTCTTTCAGTATTGTTTGATAGGTCAACCTTTCCTGGAATCTCAGGCTATTTAAAACTATTTTTCTCCCATGGAAATGTCATCCTTTTTGAAATGAAGAATGACCCACCCTTAGAACATTTATTTCTGAGGCAGTGTTGCCTATTGGATAAAGCATTGGACTGCTGAGTGGCATTGGGCAAGTCTCTTCGCCTTTCCATGCCTCAGTTTCTCTAACTCTAAAATAGGGTGTCTGCGAGGCAGTCAGAGAGAACAGAATTCAAAATGGCCAGTCTTAAAGCGACAGGTTTGTTGTTGTTGTTTTTTTTTTTTTTGTGCTCAACAACTTTTCCCTTGGTGTTCCCCATAAAAAAAAAATGGTTTGGTGTTCCTCGGTCTTAAAAAGTTTAAGAAACACTGGTCTAGTGAATTGCATGTTATTCCAAGTCTGCGAATCTGCATGTATTTCCTCTTTCTGACCATGCATTATCTTGTTTACTGGTGTGTGTGGTAGGGATATGAATGATTCACTGGTAAGCTTCACCCTTATGAGTGAGGCTTATCGATTATGATTTACTGGTGGGGGCTGCAGCAGCCTCCTTCCCCACCCTCTGTGGGCCTGGCCTGGGCACACTGTGGACAGGGGTTCTCCAGTCCAGCCCTCTCCCCCCACCTCCCTGTTTAATCGGTTAACCAGTTAACCATCATGTTTAACTGATTAACTAATTACATGGGATTTTACATTCCTAGTGGGTTCTGACTACCACAGGAGAATGAGAACCTATGCCAGGGGTAGATAATAAGTCAGAGGCGGTTCCTCGGTGGGTCACCGGAGCTTTATTTATTTACATGCGTGTCTGCAGTTATGGTCCAGTTCACCAGAGTTAGCCCCTGGCAGGTCATCAGTACTTGATTAACCTGCACATCTTCAGATCCGGCCGCTTGTAGCTCCCGTTGGCTGCGGATCATTGTTCTTAGCCACTGGGAGCTACGGGAACTATTGTCTCGGTCTCTGCTGCTTCCTGCAGCTTCCATTGGCTGGGAACGGCGATCTGCAGCCAATGGGAGCTGCAAGCGGCCGTATCTGCAGATATGCAGGTTAATAAAGTGCTGATGACCTGCCAGGGCTAACTCTGGTGAACTGTGTCTGGGCTGCTTATTGCCCACCCCGGTCTACGCAGACATCCCAAGAAGTAAGGACTCACCTGTGCATCCATTCAGCTGAGGGGTGTGACAGCAGCATCCCCCTTTGGAGAACACTTGGGGAAAGGCCGGGATGAGGATGAGGATGGATGAGCATGGGGACTATGGGCCACATTCATTCCTGGTTGTTACTCCAGGGATGAAGTTGGCTAAGGATTTTAAGCCCCTTGTTTTGGGTAGGGGGTGCTAAACATAACCCTCAAAGCACTGTGGAGCAGTTCATGAGTGGCACTCAAGACCTGATGGCAAAAGTTACAGTTTTTTCCAATCCTTTCCCCCTTGTCCTGAATTTTTCTTGTTTACGCCCCAGTAGATCCACCCTCTTCATGAGCCTCCCTCAAAAAGATAAGACATAATGTCCCACTCTTCCTCTTCCTCTTCCTCTTCCTCTTCCTCTTCGGGCTAGTTTCCCTTCCTGATATCCCTTGCTCACTGGCAGAACCCCCCAAAGCCCCAGCGATCTCCTGTCCTATGTGAGTGGCTTGTCAGCTACTCCCAAAGGTCGAGTCAAGAATACATCGTAAGGAAAGTGGATCGCCTCAGAATCATAGGCCAGAGGTTGTCAGGGTTGGACGGAGGAGGCGACACAAAACTTGCTCCAGTTGACGTATGAACTATGCAACACTCATTGCAAACTGCTTTCGTGGCCATACCGTGGTAGTTCCTGCCTGCCTGATCATATCTGCCTGGGCGGACTATAAACGACTGTTTACAGTGCAGGAGTGAGTTTCATGCCCTAGCAGAAGTGAGCATCCCTTCCCGATAAGCCTGGGCCGTCAGACTTTAAGGGTTTTATACACTGAGGGCAGTAAGGGCTTCAGGAATTGAGAATGACACTGACTCTGTCAAAATCTATCAAGTAAACCTCAGTGTTAGGTGGTTTGAAGGCAAATGGAAACAGGCTCATAGATTTTGTTAGCACAATATTGAGATATATTTTGCTATAAAGGCCATGTAAAAAACTCCTCATTATTCTCTGTCTTGGGTAAGGAAATATATTTTCCCTGCTATTGTTTGATCTGCTGTATCTTATTGATCTATTTATTATGGTGGTTTATGATGATAACTAGATACTAGATAATCCGATAGCTAGTTCCGATTTGGTGTGTTCCCTCCCCATTCCCTCGTGTTAAAACAAGCTGATGCTGTATAATCCTCTTTGCGTTAAGTGTTAACAATTTGTTGCAACCTTGGCTGTATTTTTCTGGCTGAAATTATGTGACGCTCAGGAGCTTGAATATAGGTGAAAGGATATTTGTTTAAAACTCCCAGTTTTGATTTGCTACAGCACTGGACTTCAGCCTTCCAATTTGAGTCTGCTACCAAACCCCGCCAATGAAAGTGAACAATTTCCCAGCTTGTCCCTATTTCACCAGATAAATGACCCTTTCTCTAGGAAAGCATTTGTTTAGCTGAATGTGCTCCATTTTATATCACACTGATCTTTGATCAGCTTTTGTGTAGACATTGTTTTCTTTTCGATTTTGCTGGTTTTTTAAACCAATATTTTGCTTCTCTGGATTTTCACATTGTATCAAATGCCTCTTTGATGTTGAAGCTAGATTGATTTCACAACTATGGAGTTCTCTATAAACCGGGAATGGCTAATATTAAGGTCTATGTGGGTAAGAATGGTCTGTGTAGTTATTTAATTAGTAAATATTTTGTAGAAGTGTTGCAAGTATTAATTAAAATGCCACTTCTGTGAAAAGTAACTTGTGACAAACAGTCATGTAAAAAACTGAGACAGACATTATGATAAAAATGCAATGGTGTGGCAATACAACTGACTTAGAAGGGCAGTTCAGTTTGCTATAGATTAGCTGACTTTTGAAAATTACCACTGAAGTGTATGTGTTTAAAGGTAAATCAGTTTTTTCCTGCCTGCTTCAGTTTGGCAAATGGAGCAATACAGAGGTGATTAGTTTTCTTTTACTAGAATATCTGAGTTGAATAACTTGACATGCTCTTTCCTACGCCTTTCAGGTGTATTTAGAGTAAACTATGACTCTCTTCAGCTGGAAAAAGCTTTGTATTTTTCTCCAGTTTTTCAGCAGATTTCACTTTCTAAGATGTCTGGGTTTTTTTCCCCCAGAGATCCTTTTCTAGGATAGCTGCCTGTGATAAACTTGTGGAGAGAGATGACAGCTGAAGTGAACGTAGACGTTGTTTCGATAAGTTTGGTTGTTGTATATTCTTGTGGTGGCATGAGCTGATTGGTTACCCAAACCACTACACAGCTACATGCGGTTTCTGGTCCAGTGCACATGGAGCTGCCTGCCACCCTGCGCTGCTGCCTCTGATTCAGAGGCAGCAGCATGGGGCGGCAGGTGGAAGCCGCTATCCATGGGGAGCTGGCTTAAAAGCCGGCTCCTGAGGCACAGCAGCTCCGAGGGATCTGGCTGCCGCCCTATGTGTAACCATGTAACTGCTAAAATTTTCAGTGGTTACACAGTTAGCAAATTACACTCATTTTAACCCCCCTAATACTTACTATTCAGGGCAGAGGGGTCTAAAAAGGTTAGGGTTGCCAGGTGTCTGGTTTTGAACCGGACAGTCCGGTATTTGAGGGTTCTGTCTGGGATACAAAATGAGAAAATACTGGACATATAAAATGTCTGGTATTTTCCAGTTAGGTAAGTTTTATTATTATTAGGAGTATCAGTACATAGTTCCGAACTGCCAGGCTGGTAGACACACTCATGCTGCGTGAGCGTGTCTACCAGCCAGGCAGTACGCAACTATGCAGTGGGAAGGGAGGGGGCAGGATGGAATCCCCAGGGCCAGCCT